CGGAGCAGGGAGCCCGATGCGGGGCTCGATCCCAGGACCCTGGGATCATGACCTGAGCCGAAGGCAGACGCTTAACGACTGAGCCACCCAGGCGCCCCATTAGCCGTTACTCTTATACTGCCTTCTGTAATTAATATAGCGCATTATAGTAAGTATTAAAATGGTAAGTGGAAAGTGCTGTGGGAGCACAGAAGAAGGAATGAATAATTCTGTTTGGGGATTTGGGTGTTTCATGCAGAGAAGGTGATTTGAGATAGGTCATAAAGGGTAAGTGGGGAAGTGTATTCCTTATGTAGGAGAAAGTATATGCAAAAGCATGGAGATGTTCAATAAATGGTAAAAATTTAATGTGTCCTTAAGAGTAAATCAGCCATTTTAAGGAGCTTATACTTTGTTTTGTAAGTTATTGGGTAAACAGTGGAAGTTTCTAAATAGTTAATGACATGGTCAGTTTTGCCATTTTAGGAAGCTTATATTTTATCTTGTAAGATATTGGGTAGACAGTAGAGTTTTTAAAGTAGGGTAATGACTTGGTTAGTTTTGCTTTTGTGGAGCATTGTGTGGAGAATGATTTGGCAGAAGAGGGTGGAAGGTGGTGGTTGCTAGGTAGGGAAAAACTAGATGGAGGAGGAGTCCATTTCAGAGGCTTATTAGTCCATTGAAATGTAGGGGAATGGGCAGATTAGAAAGAGAATTCTAAGACAGCTTGGACTATTTATATGGAATATAGAAGTACCTTGGAGGGAATGAGAGAGTGGAGTGCAGATTTTGAATTTTCACTTATTTCTGTCTTTGCTTATTTCTCCCTCTCTTAAAAGCTGTTTGGTGTTTGGTCCAATAATAACCTACTTTTATCAGTTTGGGGATTGAGTGCAGGGAAAAAGATGGGGATGATCATTTTTATTTAAAATGAAATATTGGCCTTATTTATTGATTTATCTAGGTTTCTAATTACAGTAGAGTTGATTATTTCAAGCTCTTGTTGAGTGGATTTTAACAGAAAAAAACTGGCTAATATCAGCTTTGTGTTCACAGGAGAATATTTTATGAATGTTCATACTTTATTTAGAGCATATATTCTTCCAAAGACTTTAGATCTTGAAGGGATACTAGAGATCTGAGAAGTTTGAGTCATTTTATTTATTTATTTTAAGGTTATTTTTTTATTTGAGAGAGCAAGAGAGAGTATGAGCGGGGGTGGGGGTTGGGGT